TAGGTACTATCCCCATACGCGTACCAGCAGCAGACAAAATTTCTAGAGGAAGAAGTCAGAATGCAAAGATCTTTTTAGTCCTGTATTCACAGGCTGTGATTACAGGTCTCCACAGTCCATGAAGACAAGGCCAGCGGCTTACCTGTGTGAGTTCTTACATGTGTTTTCAGCTGATTGCACTGGGTGAATGCCTTCCCACAAAGCTGACACACGTACGGTTTCACTCCTTTGTGTATTCTCATGTGTCGGCGGAGGCTACTGGCTTCCGAAAAGACTTTTCCACACGTGTTGCACACTGGCTTAGCTTTGGAGTACTTCTGGTCAAGTTCTTCCCCTGAACTCTCCAGCTGGTAAGTGTTCTTTTCACTGGCTATGTTAGACATACAGTGCTCCTTCAGTGCACAGCTTTGCTGAGGCTTTCCCCGTTTCTGTTTTGCTGCAATAGTCTGAACTAGGATATCCTGCGCTGCCAGCGTTTCGCTTTCCACCACAGAAGCCAGCTGTAGCTCAGAGTTATCGCTGCCTTGGGCAGCCTGTTCCGTTATCTGGGTGGCCAGCTTATTTGCATCTAAAAACATTTCAATGGATGTGTTCTCTGTCACATCGTTCTGATATTGTACGGATTTATTCTGTATGCTTTTGGGGGAGCTGAAAGTCTTCTTTCGCTTTTTGGTTTGAGATTTCTTTTCTAAAGCTGCTTTCTTTGCCTGTGGTTGAACCAACTCTGCAGAAGCAGCATCTGCTGTCTCCCGATTATTGTAATCTCGGAGAGTCAGAAGACAAGTCTGCTGATTCATTTCAATGTTTCCAGTGATACTAGATGTCTCTGTAGAAGAGGGATTAGCAATAAAAGCAAAGTCTTCCATCTTGATTTTGCATTTAGTGACCACTTCTTCTACTTTGAGATAGTCGGCAGCCTGGTGAATTTCTTTAACGTTCCAGCTGCAAGAAAACAAGACTTGGGTGACAATATTCTGGACAAAGCAAACATCTGTTCTGTACCAACTGTATCAAATACAGACAGCACAGCTACAGAAAAGTTACACCGTCAGAAAGTGTAGCTTTGAGAACACATACAGCAAGATTAATCTCTTAGTGCTGTAGTGCCATAAGACACTAGTATGACAATTACTCCCGAACTGATGGCCCATGCCTAGTGGGGTCTGCAGATCCACAGAACTGAGAATTTTGTTTTCAGTTACATGCCTTTTGTAGAATTTTAAGTTAAAAGTCCAATTGTAAGGTGGTGAGGCTAGACATGGGGTTGTTGGTCCAAAAAGCTCAGAAATCACAGCACGAAGGGATAAAACACTGGAGAAGAAAATGCAAAAGTTATCACTCTATAATCCTTCTGCCAAAAGTCTTGAGTGATTCGCAAGCGGTGCATTCACCTCAGCACTTCTGTGAGGCAGGTATTAATCTTCTTTTATAAAACAATTTGCAAGCAGTCTTAATTCTGTACCAGCTGCGCACAGACAATGTTAACACCAAGGAAGTCCTCATTTAAACTACTATGCTCTATTTTTCAGTTCCTGCAACACAGGCCTTGATGGTTTAGAAAAAATTGATCTGGAAAAAGTGGCAATATGTACCATCAATGCATTTATGGATTTACAGCACTTTAAAGAGAGATTAATGGTAAACAACATCATTCCAACAGTCTATTACACAGCAAATGTAATTAAACAATAAGTAACTAGCCACAATTATTCTCCGTACATGAATACAACTGTTTTAGTATCCTGTATTATACTCGCACTGCACACTATAGTATGCCCTCGGGGTGTCACTCATGCACCCACCACCAGAGAAGACAACAGAATTTGCAGACAGTTGCAGCAGTCACCTAAAGGGATACAGTACAAGATGACGGGTGCAGACGTGCAGGTGTCATCTTTAGTCAAATAGTTCTCCCTGGGTGAGAATGGTACTTTCACCTTCCTCTTCTTTCAGAGATCGCAACTGCTCAGAATGAATCCAGAAACTCTCCTGCTGCGGTCCCAGACAGACGTCAAGAACGCTGCACACTTCTGCTCATACACAGTTTGCAAAGCACCAGTCACTAACTTCACCACATAGCTGTGTATGCTGCTCTATTGCTGTTAATGCCTGTAGCTAATTTAAAAAAACCACCACCCCGCATCTGCATACTTCAATTATCGAGAGTGAGTTTTCAGACATCAATAGCAACAAAGCTTTTTTAAAATGCATTTGACACCAGACATTGAGAAAGGAGTTACAATCCTGGCCTACATACTTCTAAGTAGTCACACTTCCCTCATGAGGGACAATTTCTTTCCCTGAGAGAAAAGCACTGCAAAGAATCCTCACTGCACAGGAAGCAACAACAATGGGCACAAAATCGACACAGTAAGGGGGGAAACGCTTTTTCTGTGACTCCTTTTGGACATCGTAATATAAGATTTTAAGTAACAGATCATGCAAATTCTAACAAACGTATTTTTTTTAAATTGTGCCTATCCTCATGCATTCCTCAGACTTTAGTCTCTACTGTATATACCGTTCCTGTGCGTTCTCTGCAAAAATGGACTTCTATAATCCAACTTCAGAAACAAGACAGTCATCCTTCCCTCTCACAGTAATCATATCAGATTGTTAATCCCTTCCAATCCAGACAGAAACACTCAGGGAGTGAAACTATCCATCAGTGAAATATCAGACTACATACCTTTGTTTTGGCACTCGCATACCATGTGGTATTTTAAAACATACAAACAGATGATCTTCAAGTTGTTAGTATGTATCACACCCACTACTGTTTGTTCCTCCAGAACTTACTACAAAGAACAAAAAACCCAGTACTGCCTTAACACAAAGTTTATTTCCCTATTTTCTTTCCCCCTTTAATAGCGCATGTTACCTGTCAAGGTTTAAGTTTCCCGTATAAATAAATTCCAGGAGTTTTTGGAATCCATCAGCTTTCACTTGAGTCTGATCCAAAACAACATTATTGTCAGACGCGTCTCTGTAAAATGCACCGAAGTACTCGCTGAAAGAGGCAAGCACATTCCTGTGTGCTTTGAACTGGAATTCACCAATAACAACAGTGCAGTCACAAAGAAAGCCGGCTTCTCGCTGCTTGTTCAGTCTCTCTAAAAGGTGCTCACAGTGATGGGAATACTGCATTTTGATAACGAGCTGCAGCCTCTTTGTTCTGACCTGGGAAAGCAAAAAAAATTGATTCACATGCAAGATTTAACTTTGTTTTCCCCCCTAACAGAGTAAGTTAATGATTACAAAAGACTCAGTGTTTAAATCCTGCAGGATAGTTTGTGTAGTAGCGCTTTTGTACGAGGTATAGCGAGATGGGTGGATCCTTCTTAACCTGGGGAGCTGCTAATTTTAGAGACAGAACGAGGGGGAGAGGGCACCGACGTGTATGCGCCCCCACCCAGATCAGAGGATTAGCTCGCCTAAGCTTATGAACTGTCATGTCAAAACCGGGCTCCGAGGAGCACTTTGCAGAAACGAGCCACCCGAGGCTCGGACCGAACCGCGCTCAGGCGGCGGGGGGAGCCC